TGATCAGACGTAACGTGTGGCTGGTCCTATTATGTTGTTTATTTTTCTCATACTTTTCCTAGCCGTTTTGTTACCTACACACGCTCACATAGACACACAGGACAGCAGGTCAATTTCTGTAACGTTAGTAAATTGCCCTAAGATTGTTGACTGTTTTCAAGGTTAAACAGGATATCTTAAATGTACACCTTCTAGATTTGACCATGGGCTAGAGCTGGCCGTGGATTTGCCAAAGACCAACTGTTCTACACTCGTGGTTTAGTGTCATCATTTGAAGACAGCGGGAAAAGATACTTGTTGTTGTAGCAATCAATCATCCTATCTACCCATTCCGCGGTCTGTCCTTGGCTCCCACAACTACTGTGCTGGGCTCCTGGCTGTTTGATTGACATCTATGTAGCACACCTGTGCAGTTGGAAGGTGTTGTTGGTTTACTGGACATGAAGCACACTTATGTTACCTACATGTGTTCGGGAAACACAGTACAGACTCACAGTGAAACGCGACCACCTGTTGCCAGAATGTACGTTCATAAATATGATCTGGTGAATCGCCGGTCGGTAGGAAGCTATGTGTTGCCTCAGTTAATAAAACTGTTTATTATTTGAGAGTGGATGGATTCTGCACAGGGTGCATCAGGCACACACGTTGCTGAGGGAAGTGTGAAGAGCCCACAATGAATGCCAACAGTAAATCGGGGATTAATGTGACACTAGAGGAGAAGGGGTGAGGTGGGAGCTTCCGTGCACAACGTTGCTTGTAACAGGAGAAGACCCGAATCAGAGTTTTGACCGTTGGCAGCCCTAATAAATATATAGGCCCCCGAGCAAACCTTGTCCTGGCGCCCCTACGACAACCACTCATAGAAATGATACACAGACAATCAATTAGCATAGGGCCTTTACGTTCATGGGGCCCCAAGGCAAGTGCCCAGCCGGCCCATGCATTAAGATGGTCCTGGGAATGGTTGTTTACAAAATAAAGCAGTGCCACTATACTCTATTCTATATATTCTAATTGTATCAGCATTCACCATTTTGGGAATTTGAAAACATATAGTCAGTTCCAGAAGTCGTTCCACCTTGAAGAATCTGTAACTGTTGGTGTCAGTTTTCGAAATTTAGCATGTGTACTGGTAATAATCATGTCTTTGTATGACAACCCCCCCCCCCCTTTTTTTTTTACCTACCCGATTCCCTGTTTGTAAAAAACATCTTGTCTTATTGGCGGTATGTGGGGAGAGGGGAGGGCAGACATTGAATCAAAGCCAACAGTCATCATGCTTACAATGGTCTGTGGGACTGGAACTGTTTAAACCATCCAACTGCACGCATTTTCTGGGTATTTCACTCTCAGGTGGTCGTCTCCAGCATCAGTTTCCCGTAAATTGGACGAATACAATTTGTCATTGAATGTAGGCAGGATACAAAGCATGTTAAAAAACATCACAAAGCATTCTGAACATATGATTTCCAAACAATTTCCACGCAGTGTTCAGTTGTAAATTGCAAAATCATAAGGAAATTGGAAATCTCATTTTTTTTATGCGGCGTACATAAATTTATCAAGTGTAGGGCGACGATCAAAGAAAAACTCGCACAAGCTAACATTCAGTCAATAAGAGCCCGGCAGAAGCCAGAATACACGGACGGATGGATGGATGGATGGGTGGATGGATGGATGCATGCATGTATGGATGGATGGGTGGATGGATGCATGGATGGGTGGATGGATGGATGGATGGATGGATGGATGGATGGATGGATGGATGGATGGATGGGTGGATGGATGGATGGATGGATGGATGCATGGATGGGTGGATGGATGGATGGATGGATGGGTGGATGGATGGGTGGATGGATGCATGGATGGGTGGATGGATGGATGGATGGGTGGATGGATGGATGGATGCCTGGATGGGTGGATGGATGGGGGGATGGATGGATGCATGGATGGGTGGATGGATGCCTGGATGGGTGGATGGATGGATGGATGCATGGATGCATGGATGGATGGATGGGTGGATGGATGGATGGATGGATGCATGCATGGATGGATTGATGCATGGATGGGTGGATGGATGGATGGATGGATGGATGGATGGATGGATGGATGGATGGATGGATGGATGGATGGATGGATGGGTGGATGGATGCATGGATGGATGGATGGATGGGTGGATGGATGGATGGATGGGTGGATGGATGGATGGATGGGTGGATAGATGATGACGCAAGGGTGGATGGGTGTCTCTATGCCGGCAGTCCGAGTCTGGTAAGCACTTGTTAAAAGCTTTCATTGGATGTACCAAAACATGTTACGCGCTTATTGTAAACTGTACAGCAACACCGTAGGGTGTCTGTCCGTGACACGATAGACAAGAGGGCTTGTCATTACTATACGTTTTCTGTGTGGATTCTGATCCACCTTTGTGGGGGGGGGGGGGGGCTAGAGGCCTAGAGTAGACTCACCGCCTCCTCAGTAAGCATGTCGTAAGAGTCAATAAGTGGGTACTTTCTTCGATGTCAGAGTGCCTCTACCCGAGAGAGACAATGAACCTACAGTCTGCATACACATAAGCTAGATCTGTAAAATGATGTGCACACAACACTGAAGTTCTGGAAAAAGACAAAAATCCAGAAGTGGACAAACAAATCTTAACTTCCACTTGAGTTTACGGCTGGCGAACGCGAAGAAGAAAAGAAGAAGAAGAAGAACAAGAAGAAGACTATCGTGTGTTTCTAGACACCACAAGTCAGAATTGTGCTTTTCAGTAAACAAGGGGTAGCAAGGATTGAGGCTGGCTATTTCCGCTCACAAAACTGTGAAACAAATCTGTGCCAGATTGTGTTGCTTCATTTAACCACCACAGACACAACCGTGGGTGTACACTAATGTCCGCTGCTTTAGTTATAGGATCATCTGTGTCCTTTATCATTCCAAAACCAGCTGTAACCTGTCCTTGTTTTCTTACCAGGTTCCACTTCATTGATTCCACTACGGTCCAGTAACTCCAGCACTGGCGGAACTGTACGAGCAACATCACCTGCAGCATCCCATTCAGCCATACCAACTGCCATTGGACGTGGAATCCCCAAACTCCAGAAGCCAAACCCTTGCCGACAAGCAGTCCAACAGGACCAGTGCTGGGTCCACCAGCTCTACCTCCTCTACCAAGAGCACTACTTCTTCCAAGCCACCGTCCAGCAACAAAAACTCCATGTTGGACAAGTTCAAGTTCTTCAAGGACAAAGACAAAGAGAAGGAAAAGGATAAGGGTAAGGGTTTGGTTAAAAGCTCATCCAAGAACAGCAGTGCCAGTACCAGCACTACAAGCACGAGCTCCCGGAGCGATACAGACTCAAGAACCAGCAGCAGTGACACCACGAAATCGTCTTCCTTCACGAGCAGTCAGAGTTCAAGCTCCGGTGACCATGCTGGGCCCAGCTCTGCAGGGGCTACTGGAGGGGCTGTTGACAACCAAACATCTCCATCAAAGAGCTCCAGTAAATCAGGGAAGAAATCCCTGGTTAAGGCTTTCAGTTCTAAGAAAGAAATGCCAGAAGAGCAGCTAAGATCTGTGGTACCTCCCCCTATACCAAGCGCTGTGGGTCTAGGACCACCTACTGGAGGCCAGTATGCTGCATCACAGTCATCATCGACCCAGTCTCAAAGAAATGTATCCCCAAATCAGGGAAGGAAAGTCCAGCAGTAAATCTGATAGGGCAGATCCTCGTCAGCCAGAAACTAGACAGACTGATCCCAGGCAGATAGATCCGAGACTTGCAGCTGTCAGCCCAACTCCATCGTCATCAAAGAAAGCTTCCAAAATTGGAAGTTTGACGGGTATCCCTAAAACGCCATCATCATCATCATCTGGAAAATCTTCAAAAGCAGCCACTTCTGTAGCATCAACGATTCCAGCATCATCATCGACCTCTTCACTGCCTGCATCATCTTCTGGGATCCCAAAGCCTAGCTCCACTAAAGGATCAGGGAAGTTGTCCAAAGAGGACAAAGCACGGGCTGCAGCAGCCAGTAAAGAGTACACCAAAGCCTTATACAAAGATCTGCCAGGTGTTAGTGCACCTAAATCGTTTGCTTCCAGTTCAAAGTCCTCATCGTCGTCATCACCACATCATCAACAGCAGCAGCAGCAACAACAGCAAACCCAGCAGCAGGCTCAGCATCAGTCCCAACAACAGTTGTATCAACAACAACAGCAGGCATATCACATGCGGCAACAACAGCAACAGCAGCAGCAACAACAACACTATCAGCAGACTGCTTATTCCCTGCACCAGCAACAGCAGCAGCAACAGCAGCAGCAGCAACAACAACAACAACAACAACAACAACAACAGTACTCGCAACATTACACCCCTCACCACGGCGCTCACTCAGTGCCAGAGCACCAGTATAACACACCTTATGGGTACATTCCGCCTTACGCCCACAACCCGGGGTATGCTACACCAACCAGAGTCCCATCTAGCCCTCTTGTTCAGAACGTTCATCCAAGAGTCAATCTCCAAACCGTGGAACGGCAGCAGCAGTTGCAACAACAGCAACAACAACTTTCAGATCAAGCAAGTGCCTTTTCTTCATTACAACAAAGGAGTGTCAGCCAAGCCACCCATTATGTTCCTGTAACAATTCCTGCCATAAACATGGACACCCACCCAACCACTGGTCGGTCCATGAAACAGATGTTGCCTCAGAGTCCCATAATGAGTCCAAATTTAGGGAGGCACAACCCTTCAGTGAACATTGTGAAACCGACCATGTGTAACTCCCCCCAGCCTGCCTCCAGCCAAAAGACAACTAAATCCGACAGCAATACACAAACCAGCCTGTCAGTGCTGCACAAGTCAGCAGCACCAAGGCACGCCAGCTCACCAGCTGAGCCTGGCAAATCCAGTCCCAAAGCAGCGGAATCTTCCTCACAAAGTGACATTACTCAGGACTCAAAATCCTCCACAAGCACAGCATCGCCTTCAATGACGCCAAAGTCCTCTAGAGGGACAGCAACCACATCCACTTCCTACGATGGCCGTGGCGCTCAAAAAGCAGACGCGACTAGAAGTTCAGGATCGGACAGGCAACTTAACAACCACGACAGACTTGCCAGTGAGGACAGTACAACTGGCAACACTGTGCAGCAAGCTGAGACAGATACTGGACGCAAACTCAGCATCAAGGACGCTACTAACGCATCCTTGGAGAAATCGTTGACACCCTCTAATACCAGCTCTCCCAAACTCGGAGTTAAAATGCTGGGCACTCACATTTCTAAAACGGCCAGTAATGTAGCCGTTGTGCAGCCTCGTTCTGGGGAGAAAATGGAGACCACTTTTGATGCAGAGGTTCGAACTGAAACAGTTCACAAGCACAGTCCGGATTTGGACATGTCTAAGACAGCGCTGGGCAAGGAGACCACGTTTCTGACCCCAGACAAGGATGAGAAGACCACCTTTATGGATGACGCTGGCGAAACCATGGATATAAAACCCATGCCACCCATCATGAGAGCTTTGCCTTATGGATATTTCCGTGGATACTCAGGATACGGTGGATTCAGCAACCGGAACTTCCACATCCCAGGTAAGTTATCACTTGATTGTTCACATGCACAGATATAATTAATTAACGAACTGGTCGGTCGAGGTTAATTACCAAGGCAAGGAACCAACATTCTGCATACAAATAAACACACCTGTAGTTTGCAGGTAATCTAACTCCTAAAAAAAAGTATATATATATAGTTGTTGGCACCTTTCCGTCTGTCCAGACGTTATGCTGTGCTAGGAGGGGACATGGGACTCACAGCCCACGGTGATGGCGAGTGTGACTAGCAAGACCTACCCACGTTAGGACGAGTCTTTCACAATTATAGAATGGGATTTCAGGACCGTTGATTTAAAAAAAAAAAATTTAACCAGACCTGTAAAAGGGATGTACACACATGTACACTCAAAACTCAGGTTATGCAACAGACTAAAGTGCAGAGATGGGCAAACAAGCAGAACTTTTTGCTGAAGTTGACATCTAACTGGTGAAGGTGGAGAAGAAGAATCAATGAACACATGTTTCCTGAAGGTGTCAGAGCACCTTGATTTCTTTCTTGCTCTTTAACATTTACCAGGTGAGATTGCCGGTTCTTTTACTCACGACAGTGAACTTGTGTGGATCTGCTAGTACAGAACAGGTTCACGCGCAATCACTGAACTCACGTCTGCTCTAACGCTGACTTAAGATCTTCACCTTCTGCCACTATCTCCTTTTCTACCTCAGTCCTTCCTGCTAGTGTCGAAGCCAGTCCCATAGTTGCACCAGTCCTAGCCTCGTGTGGTCGCCAATGTTTTGCATTTCCTACTCCAACAGCCGGACATTTATGGAGGGTATCACATTTAACTGTTTGAGTCCCAGGGAACGCATCATTCGTTCATAGGTTCTTACGTGGAGGCCCAATGAACGCGTGATGTGTCGATTTTAGTCTCTCTTTACTATCCATTGGGCCTGTGATGTTAAACCCATTGGGACTCAAAGGGTTAACCAATTGGAGGCCACCTGGGCCACCTTTTCAAGTTTTTCTGGCATGACTTGACAGTTGAGCCACTTCTACTGCGGGTGCCACACACTCTGCGTGTGTGTAATGCATTCACTTGGAAAAATCCACACTAAACAATCCGTGGCTTTGACTGAGACCAGGATATGAGGACTGTTTTACCGAAGCAGCTAAAAGGAGTTACCGCTCAGCCCTTCCCTGCGATAAGAAATGATTCCAATGAAAGGTGACCAAAAAGCTAAACGGAAGGGGCGCTACTGACTAATGGATGTTTCGACCGAAGCCTTTCTGGACATGAACTACACAACAAAAATAATGGGAAAAATATTCCAACCACCAGTGCTAACATGTGATAAATGTCATCGTCCTCCTGTCTGTGGAGCCGTGTCATCGTCCTCCTGTCAGTGGAGCCGTGTGATCGTCCTCCTGTCAGTGGAGCCGTGTGATCGTCCTCCTGTCTGTGGAGCCGTGTGATCGTCCTCCTGTCTGTGGAGCCGTGTGATCGTCCTCCTGTCTGTGGAGCCGTGTGATCGTCCTCCTGGCTGTGGAGCCGTGTTATCGTCCTCCTGTCTGTGGAGCCGTGTGATCGTCCTCCTGTCTGTGGAGCCGTGTGATCGTCCTCCTGGCTGTGGAGCCGTGTGATCGTCCTCCTGGCTGTGGAGCCGTGTGATCGTCCTCCTGGCTGTGGAGCCGTGTGATCGTCCTCCTGGCTGTGGAGCCGTGTGGCGTCCTCCTGGCTGTGGAGCGGTGTGGTCGTAGTCCTGGCTGTGGAGCCGTGTGGTCGTCCTCCTGGCTGTGGAGCCGTGTGGTCGTCCTCCTGGCTGTGGAGCCGTGTGATCGTCCTCCTGGCGGTGGAGCCGTGTGATCGTGCTCCGGGCTGTGGAGCCGTTTAACGATATCTCAGCTCGGCGGACTGACCCGTCGGTGTATACTTAATTCAACGACAGCATAACAGAGCTTAGGCTGAGACAGTATAGAGCTTAGACGGAGATAATATGATAGACCTTAGATGGAGAAAGTAGAGCTTAGATAGAGATAATATGACAGACCTTAAATGGAGTCAGTATAGAGCTTAGACGATGACAGTGTGGTAGAGCTTAGACGGAAAAAGCATCACAGAGCTTAGATGTAGTTAATATGATAGAGCTTAGATGTAGACAGTATATAGAGCTGAGAGGGAGACAGTATCACAATTCCTAGATGGAGGCAATATATAGAGCTGAGAGGGAGACAGTATCACAATTCCTAGATGGAGGCAATATATAGAGCTAAGAGGGAGACAGTATCACAATTCCTAGATGGAGGCAATATATAGAGCTAAGAGGGAGACAGTATCACAATTCCTAGATGGAGGCAATATATAGAGCTGAGAGGGAGACAGTATCACAATTCCTAGATGGAGGCAATATATAGAGCTGAGAGGGAGACAGTATCACAATTCCTAGATGGAGGCAATATATAGAGCTAAGAGGGAGACAGTATCACAATTCCTAGATGGAGGCAATATATAGAGCTGAGAGGGAGACAGTATCACAATTCCTAGATGGAGGCAATATATAGAGCTGAGAGGGAGACAGTATCACAATTCCTAGATGGAGGGAATATATAGAGCTGAGAGGGAGACAGTATCACAATTCCTAGATGGAGGCAATATATAGAGCTGAGAGGGAGACAGTATCACAATTCCTAGATGGAGGCAATATATAGAGCTGAGAGGGAGACAGTATCACAATTCTTAGATGGAGGCAATATATAGAGCTGAGAGGGAGACAGTATCACAATTCCTAGATGGAGGCAATATATAGAGCTGAGAGGGAGACAGTATCACAATTCCTAGATGGAGGCAATATATAGAGCTGAGAGGGAGACAGTATCACAATTCCTAGATGGAGGCAATATATAGAGCTAAGAGGGAGACAGTATCACAATTCCTAGATGGAGGCAATATATAGAGCTAAGAGGGAGACAGTATCACAATTCTTAGATGGAGGCAATATATAGAGCTGAGAGGGAGACAGTATGTAAGAGCTTAGATGGAGAAAGTATGCCAGAACATAGATGGAGGCAGTATAGAGTTTCAACGGAGGCAATATGACATAAATTAGTTGAAGACAGTATGGAGCTTAAAATTAGACAGTATAGTAGATCTTAGAAGAAGCATGACATAGCTTAGACATTGAAAGCATAACAGAGCTTACATGGAGACAATATGATAGAGCTTTGATGGAGACAGTATATAGAGCTGGGAGAGAGACAGTGTAGCAAAGCTTAGACGAAGAGAGTTTGACAGAGCTTAGACGGAGACAATATGACAGAGCTTAGACGGAGACAATTTGACAGAGGTTAGACGGAAAAAATATGACAGAGCTTAGAAGGAGACAATATTTCAGAGCTTAGACGGAGACAATATGACAGAGCTTAGACGGAGACAGTATAACAAAGCTTAGACGGAGACAGTATGTCAAAGCTTAGACGGAGTCAATATGACAGAGCTTAGACGGAGATTATATGTCAGAGCTTAGACGGAGACAGTATGTCAGAGCTTAGACGGAGACGATATATCAGAGCTTAGACGGAGACAATTTGACAGAGCTTAGACGGAGACAGTATGACAAAGCTTAGACGGAGACAATATGACAGAGCTTAGACGGAGACAATATGACAGAGCTTAGACGGAGACAATATGACAGAGCTTAGACGGAGACAATATGACAGAGCTTAGACGGAGACAATATGTCAGAGCTTAGACGGAGACAATATGACAGAGCTTAGACGGAGACAATATGACAGAGCTTAGACGGAGACAATATGACAGAGCTTAGACGGAGACAATATGACAGAGCTTAGACGGAGACAATATTAGACGGAGACAATATGACAAAGCTTAGACGGAGACAATATGACAAAGCTTAGACGGAGACAATATGACAGAGCTTAGACGGAGACAATATGTCAGAGCTTAGACGGAGACAATATGACAGAGCTTAGACGGAGACAATATGTCAGAGCTTAGACGGAGACAATATGTCAGAGCTTAGACGGAGACAATATGTCAGAGCTTAGACGGAGACAATATGTCAGAGCTTAGACGGAGACAATATGTCAGAGCTTAGACGGAGACAATATGACAGAGCTTAGATGGAAACACTCTGACAAAGCTTTGATGGAGACAGTCGAACAGTCTAGACGAAAGCACAATGACAGCGCCCAATAAATAAAATGGTACACAGAGAACACCACGATGTACACTCATCTAGCCCACAGTGTACACTCATCTAGCCCACAGTGTACACTCATCTAGCCCACAGTGTACACTCATCTAGCCCACAGTGTACAATCATCTAGCCCAAGGTGTACACTCATCTAGCCCACAGTGTACACTCATCTAGCCCACCGTGTACACTCATCTAGCCCACAGTGTACACTCATCTAGCCCACAGTGTACACTCATCTAGCCCACAGTGTACACTCATCTAGCCCAAGGTGTACACTCATCTAGCCCACAGTGTACACTCATCTAGCCCACAGTGTACACTCATCTAGCCCACAGTGTACACTCATCTAGCCCACAGTGTACACTCATCTAGCCCACAGTGTACACTCATCTAGCCCACAGTGTACACTCATCTAGCCCACAGTGTACACTCATCTAGCCCACAGTGTACACTCATCTAGCCCACAGTGTACACTCATCTAGCCCACAGTGTACACTCATCTAGCCCACAGTGTACACTCATCTAGCCCACAGTGTACACTCATCTAGCCCACAGTGTACACTCATCTAGCCCACAGTGTACACTCATCTAGCCCACAGTGTACACTCATCTAGCCCACAGTGTACTCTCATCTAGCCCACAGTGTACACTCATCTAGCCCACAGTGTACACTCATCTAGCCCACAGTGTACTCTCATCTAGCCCACAGTGTACACTAATCTAGCCCACAGTGTACACTCATCTAGCCCACAGTGTACACTCATCTAGCCCACAGTGTACACTCATCTAGCCCACGGTTACACTCATCTAGCCCACAGTGTACACTCATCTAGCCCACAGTGTACACTCATCTAGCCCACAGTGTACACTCATCTAGCCCACAGTGTACACTCATCTAGCCCACAGTGTACACTCATCTAGCCCACAGTATACACTCATCTAGCCCACAGTGTACACTCATCTAGCCCACGGTGTACACTCATCTAGCCCACAGTGTACACTCATCTAGCCCACAGTGTACACTCATCTAGCCCACAGTGTACACTCATCTAGCCCACAGTGTACACTCATCTAGCCCACAGTGTACACTCATCTAGCTCACGGTTACACTCATCTAGCCCACGGTGTACAGTCATCTAGCCCACGGTGTACAGTCATCTAGCCCACAGTGTACACTCATCTAGCCCACGGTGTACACTCATCTAGCCCACAGTGTACACTCATCTAGCCCACAGTGTACACTCATCTAGCTCACAGTGTACACTCATCTAGCCCACAGTGTACACTCATCTAGCCCACAGTGTACACTCATCTAGCCCACGGTGTACACTTATCTAGCCCACAGTGTACACTCATCTAGCCCACAGTGTACACTCATCTAGCCCACGGTGTACTCTCATCTAGCCCACGGTGTACACTCATCTAGCCCACAGTGTACACTCCTCTAGCCCACAGTGTACACTCATCTAGCCCACGGTGTACACTCATCTAACCCACGGTGTACACTCATCTAGCCCACGGTGTACACTCATCTAGCCCACGGTGTACACTCATCTAGCCCACGGTGTACACTTATCTAGCCCACGGTGTACACTCATCTAGCCCACGGTGTACACTCATCTAGCCCACAGTGTACACTCATCTAGCCCACTGTGTACACTCCTCTAGCCCACGGTGTACACTCCTCTAGCCCACGGTGTACACTCATCTAGCTCACAGTGTACTCTCATCTAGCCCACGGTGTACACTCATCTAGCCCACGGTGTACACTCATCCAGCCCGCGGTGTACACTCATCTAGCCTACGGTGTACACTCATCTAGCCCACTGTGTACACTCCTCTAGCCCACGGTGTACACTCCTCTAGCCCACGGTGTACACTCATCTAGCCCACTGTGTACACTCATCTAGCCCACAGTGTACTCTCAACTAGCCTAAGGTGTACATTCATCTAGCCCACAGTGTACACTCATCTAGCCCACAGTGTACACTCATCTAGCCCACAGTGTACACTCATCTAGCCCACAGTGTACTCTCAACTAGCCCAAGGTGTACACTCATCTAGCCCACAGTGTACTCTCATCTAGCCCACAGTGTACACTCATCTAGCCCAAGGTGTACACTTATCTAGCCCACAGTGTACACTCATCTAGCCTACAGTGTACACTTATCTAGCCCACAGTGTACACTCATCTAGCCTACAGTGTACTCTCATCTAGCCCAAGGTGTACACTCAACTAGCCCACAGTGTTCACTCATCTAGCCCACAGTGTTCACTCATCTAGCCCACAGTGTACACTCATCTAGCCCACAGTGTACACTAATTCAGCCCACAGTGCACAATCATCTAGCTCACAGTGTACACTCATCTAGCCCACAGTGTACACTCATCTAGCCCACAGTGTACACTCATCTAGCCCACAGTGTACACTAATTCAGCCCACAGTGCACAATCATCTAGCCCACAGTGTACTCTCATCTAGCCCACAGTGTACACTCATCTATCCCACAGTGTACACTCATCTAGCCCACAGTGTACACTCATCTAGCCCACAGTGTACTCTCATCTAGCCCAAGGTGTACACTTAACTAGCCCACAGTGTACTCTCATCTAGCCCAAGGTGTACACTCATATAGCCCACAGTGTACTCTCATCTAGCCCACAGTGTACACTTACCTAGCCCACGATGTACACTCATCTAGCCCACTGTATACACTAATTCAGCCCACAGTGCACAATCATCTAGCCCACGGTGTACACTCATCTAGCCCACAGTGTACACTCATCTAGCCCAAGGTGTACACTCATCTAGCCCACGGTGTACACACCTAGCCCACAGTGTACACTCATCTAGCCCACAGTGTACACACCTAGCCCACAGTGTACACTCATCTAGCCCACAGTGTACACACATAGCCCACAGTGTACACACCTAGCCCACAGTGTACACTCATCTAGCCCACGGTGTACACACCTAGCCCACTGTGTACACTCATCTAGCCCACAGTGTACACTCATCTAGCCCAAGGTGTACACTCATCTAGCCCAAGGTGTACATTCATCTAGCCCAAGGTGTACACTCATCTAGCCCACGGTGTACACTCATCTAGCCCAAGGTGTACACTCATCTAGCCCACGGTGTACACACCTAGCCCACAGTGTACACTCATCTAGCCCACAGTGTACACACCTAGCCCACAGTGTACACTCATCAAGCCCACAGTGTACACACATAGCCCACAGTGTACACACCTAGCCCACAGTGTACACTCATCTAGCCCACAGTGTACACACCTAGCCCACAGTGTACACTCATCTAGCCCACAGTGTACACACATAGCCCACAGTGTACACACCTAGCCCACAGTGTACACTCATCTAGCCCACGGTGTACACACCTAGCCCACTGTGTACACTCATCTAGCCCACAGTGTACACTCATCTAGCCCAAGGTGTACACTCATCTAGCCCAAGGTGTACATTCATCTAGCCCAAGGTGTACACTCATCTAGCCCACGGTGTACACTCATCTAGCCCAAGGTGTACACTCATCTAGCCCACGGTGTACACACCTAGCCCACAGTGTACACTCATCTAGCCCACAGTGTACACACCTAGCCCACAGTGTACACTCATCAAGCCCACAGTGTACACACATAGCCCACAGTGTACACACCTAGCCCACAGTGTACACTCATCTAGCCCACGGTGTACACACCTAGCCCACAGTGTACACTCATCTAGCCCACAGTGTACACTCATCTAGCCCAAGGTGTACACTCATCTAGCCCAAGGTGTACATTCATCTAGCCCAAGATGTACACTCATCTAGCCCACAGTGTACACTCATCTAGCCCAAGGTGTACACTCATCTAGCCCACAGTGTACACTCACCTAGCCCACGGTGTACACTCATATCGCCCTCGGTGTACACTTATCTAGCCCACAATGTAAATCGTCATTTACCACTAGAATTCTGTTTGCCACCAGCTGTGGCGCAGGGTCGTGAGAACTGTTCTGTGTGGCAACTAAGGGGTATTATAAGATTGTGTATCTGTTCTGTCCAGGTATATCTGGAGTTGTGAACCGTAGTTGTGGATTCAGGCTGTATGATATTCCTGGTTTACAATGATAACTTTAATAGATGAGTGGTCATGCCTTTTAGTACGCATGCTTCTGCAACCACTTAGTCACTTGAAGGTGCATGTTCGATGCCTGGAATGGTAAATATAGCTTTAGATTGTTGTGTTTTCTAGTGTGTTCTCTTATCTATCTACTTCTGTGTATAAGTGCCGATCAGTCCGTGAATATTTCTTTAATATATTCTGTCCAGGTATATCCGTCCCTACAACGGCCATGTACGCAAGCCGTACCAACAGCAGCCACGGCTTGGGCTTACCTCGCCCGTTCATCGATCAGGGAGCCGCGAACAAGTACTACTCGGGCCAGATCAAAAGGGCCGGATCTAGCACCTGTCCCAATTCAGCACCAAGGTAAAATGTTGTCCCTATGTGGCCTGTCTGAAAATCTGTGGCACAAAGTTGATACATTCGTTGATCGTTTCAGTCTAACGAGCTTTTCAACCTCTGTCAGTTTGTGTGCGGTGGAGTCTATGGGGATATTACGTGATGTATTTCTACTCTCTTCCATGGTGTGATTCTTATACTACTGTCTGAAAAGTACAAGCAGGATTGTTGTGTGTTTTTTAATAGTTTTCAGAAACTGAACTCTGGTACGTTGAAGTCTGGACTATGAAACGATGTCACATACCATAAGCCATACAGCTGCACGCAATGTAGATAGGGTTTTGTGTATTCCTATCAGTTTTAAAAGTATCATATTTAGCTAATGAGAGGTTGTCGGCTCTTATATACCTGGCTGGAGCATTGTTTCTTGGAGACGAAGTGCTGAAATAACATCCATTATATGTCGCCTGTGGGCGACCCGGTCGCTGATGTGCTTTAAATTTAAAGTTCATTATTTTCTGGAGGTTTTGGAAAGACTTTCAAATGATGATACAACTGTTGGAAGGTGAGGACAGAATGAAGGGTCCATAAGCTGTAACAATGTGAGGACAGAATCAAGGGTCCATGAGATGTAACAAGGTGAGGACAGAATGAAGGGTCCATGAGCTGTAACAATGTGAGGACAGAATGAAGGGTCCATGAGATGTAACAATGTGAGGACAGAATGAAGGGTCCATAAGCTGTAACAATGTGAGGACAGAATGAAGGGTCCATGAGCTGTAACAATGTGAGGACAGAATGAAGGGTCCATGAGCTGTAACAATGTGAAGACAGAATGAAGGGTCCATGAGCTGTAACAATGTGAGGACAGAATGAAGGGTCCATGAGCTGTAACAATGTGAGGACAGAATGAAGGGTCCATGAGCTGTAACAAGGTGAGGACAGAATGAAGGGTCCATGAGCTGTAACAATGTGAGGACAGAATCAAGGGTCCATGAGATGTAACAAGGTGAGGACAGAATGAAGGGTCCATGAGCTGTAACAATGTGAGGACAGAATGAAGGGTCCATGAGCTGTAACAAGGTGAGGACAGAATCAAGGGTCCATGAGCTGTAACAATGTGAGGACAGAATGAAGGGTCCATGAGCTGTAACAATGTGAGGACAGAATGAAGGGTCCATGAGCTATAACAATGTGAGGACAGAATGAAGGGTCCATAAGCTGTAACAATGTGAGGACAGAATGAAGGGTCCATAAGCTGTAACAATGTGAGGACAGAATGAAGGGTCCATGAGCTGTAACAAGGTGAGGACAGAATGAAGGGTCCATGAGCTATAACAATGTGAGGACAGAATGAAGGGTCCATGAGCTATAACAATGTGAGGACAGAATGAAGGGTCCATGAGCTATAACAATGTGAGGACAGAATGAAGGGTCCATAAGCTGTAACAATGTGAGGACAGAATGAAGGGTCCATGAGCTGTAACAATGTGAGGACAGAATGAAGGGTCCATGAGCTGTAACAATGTGAGGACAGAATGAAGGGTCCATGAGATGTAACAATGTGAGGACAGAATGAAGGGTCCATAAGCTGTAACAATGTGAGGACAGAATCAAGGGTCCATGAGCTGTAACAATGTGAGGACAGAATGAAGGGTCCATGAGCTGTAACAATGTGAGGACAGAATGAAGGGTCCATGAGATGTAACAATGTGAGGACAGAATGAAGGGTCCATGAGCTGTAACAATGTGAGGACAGAATGAAGGGTCCATAAGCTGTAACAAGGTGAGGACAGAATGAAGGGTCCATGAGATGTAACAATGTGAGGACAGAATGAAGGGTCCATGAGATGTAACAATGTGAGGACAGAATCAAGGGTCCATGAGCTGTAACAATGTGAGGACAGAATGAAGGGTCCATGAGATGTAACAATGTGAGGACAGAATGAAGGGTCCATAAGCTGTAACAATGTGAGGACAGAATGAAGTGTCCATGAGCTGTAACAATGTGAGGACAGAATCAAGGGTCCATAAGCTGTAACAATGTGAGGACAGAATGAAGGGTCCATAAGCTGTAACAATGTGAGGACAGAATGAAGGGTCCATGAGCTGTAACAAGGTGAGGACAGAATGAAGGGTCCATGAGCTGTAACAATGTGAGGACAGAATGAAGGGTCCATAAGCTGTAACAATGTGAGGACAGAATGAAGGGCCCATGAGCTGTAACAAGGTGAGGACAGAATGAAGGGTCCATGAGATGTAACTAGGTGAGGACAGAATGAAGGGTCCATGAGCTGTAACAATGTGAGGACAGAATGAAGGGTCCATGAGCTGTAACAATGTGAGGACAGAATGACGGGTCCATGAGCTGTAACAATGTGAGGACAGAATCAAGGGTCCATGAGCTGTAACACGGTGAGGACAGAATGAAGGGTCCATGAGATGTAACAAGGTGAGGACAGAATGACGGGTCCATGAGCTGTAACAATGTGAGGACAGAATGAAGGGTCCATGAGCTGTAACAAAGTGAGGACAGAATGAAGGGTCCATGAGATGTAACAATGTGAGGACAGAATGACGGGTCCATGAGCTGTAACAAGGTGAGGACAGAATCAAGGGTCCATGAGATGTAACAATGTGAGGACAGAATCAAGGGTCCATGAGATGTAACAATGTGAGGACAGAATCAAGGGTCCGTGAGATGTAACAATGTGAGGACAGAATGAAGGGTCCATAAGCTGTAACAATGTGAGGACAGAATGAAGGGTCCATGAGCTGTAACAAGGTGAGGACAGAATGAAGGGTCCATGAGCTGTAACAATGTGAGGACAGAATCAAGGGTCCATGAGCTGTAACAATGTGAGGACAGAATGAAGGGTCCATGAGCTGTAACAATGTGAGGACAGAATGACGGGTCCATAAGCTGTAACAATGTGAGGACAGAATCAAGGGTCCATAAGCTGTAACAATGTGAGGACAGAATGAAGGGTCCATGAGCTGTAACAATGTGAGGACAGAATGAAGGGTCCATGAGCTGTAACAAGGTGAGGACAGAATCAAGAGTCCATGAGCTGTAACAAGGTGAGGACAGAATGAAGGGTCCATGAGATGTAACAATGTGAGGACAGAATGAAGGGTCCATGAGATGTAACAAGGTGAGGACAGAATGAAGGGTCCATGAGATGTAACAATGTGAGGACAGAATGAAGGGTCCATGAGATGTAACAATGTGAGGACAGAATGAAGGGTCCATGAGCTGTAACAAGGTGAGGACAGAATGAAGGGTCCATGAGCTGTAACAATGTGAGGACAGAATGAAGGGTCCATGAGATGTAACAATGTGAGGACAGAATGAAGGGTCCATGAGCTGTAACAATGTGAGGACAGAATCAAGTGTCCATGAGCTGTAACAAGGTATGGATGAACTTTAGATGACTGAGTAGTTTGCATTATAGATAGTGTTCTGAGAGAACTTTAAAACACATCGGCGACCGGGTCTTCTATTGGCTCGCCGGTAGACGGCCTCGTCGTCGGTCATGACAGTATTTGAGTCTTTCTCTGGTGATCGCATCAACACTGCATGATTCTTTGTCAGGGCTACTTGGTGGCCAGCAATGTTAAGCCATTCTGTATAGCGCAATTAACCTAGTCACAATTTTAACCGAAAGCACCCCCTTTGGGGATGCTGATTGAGCGTGACGATTTTGTTGTTGTTGCTCAAAATCGGATCGGATCGAAACTTTAATGACATCTTACTCTAGCACTTTCTCTCCTCATATTATTTCAACTGACTGTCTACAATCTTGTATGTTTTGCCTGTTGCTATGTATATTCTCCATTGTCTTGTATCTTGTCCTATTCTTGTTTTCTTCCTCTGGCTTCTGTCATGTCTTGTAATGTTGTAGCCTGTCTTATAACGTGTATATGGTGTCTTATCCTCTCTCATCGTATTCTATCATGGCTTGCCCTGTCTGTCCTTGTAGTATCGGACCTTGTCTTATTCTGTGTTGTAGTTGTCCTCCACAGCTGCTGTGTTACAACTAACACTGACACCAAACATTAGTTTATTCCTTGGCAGCATAATGGATTTCATCAACCCACCCTGTTAACAAACACAGTTCAGCCGAGAAACCCGGTTACAACATTCAAACGCACAAACATAACTTCAAAAACGGTGAAACTTGCATGAAATCAAAAACACCCTAACCCTCAGATATATTTCCGAAGCCTCGAAGGGCGACACCTAGCCTCCACTTGACGAGAGTCTACAACACTTAACACCTTCAGCCTACAGACCCCCTCTTGGGGTCACCACACGGCCATCTTTAGCTATAAATCTAGAGTTGGCGGTGGGTCACCAGTAGCCTTTAATAAACATCTTGGTTATGTGCCCACACTTTGGGTCACTAATAACCTATACATAATAGCTGACTAAAGATGGCTATATCCACGGCACAAGGCCTCCCGATCTACAGTCGCAATCAGCCTCCAGTGATTTTAGAAACACATCCTCGCAGTTGGATGAAAAAGAGATCTTGGTCTCTCAACGCCTAGTCTCCATTAAATGCACTCGGCTGAAGCGTTCCGAAATATATACACAATTGTAACTAACAAGCTATAAATAAATAAATAAATAAATAAATAAATAAAATAAAAAATAATAATTAATAAATAAACAGGTTCAAACAGGTGACAGATTTAATTCCCAGCACGGTAACTATAGCTTTCGATTTTTATGTTGTCTAGTGTGTTCTTCTATCTTTCTACTTCTTTCTATGAGCGCCAATCAATACACTTTCTGTTACTTGATTAATTCATAATATTTAACGGCCTGAACTGTTCCCCCTCTGTTTATTTATAGAAATGACGTATACACACCGTAACCTACCAATCAAATACCTTTCTTAAATGTTTGTGTATTCTAGACAAAGCAATAAGGTCTACTGTGTTCGTAAATGGTTGCTGTGATTGTTATTCGACATATGCTTCGTTAATATAAATTTATGTAACCAATGGTGCCATTTCAATGGTTTGGAATGAATTCTGTCCGTAATCCATAGTTGTGGATTTCAAGCTGTACGATAGACATGGCCAACAAGATACCTTTTTTTGGGGGGGTTACAGGTTGACCATGTTCTTAGTGCACTTGTATTTATGACGAGGCGCACACGCCGTCTGGTGGTGACAGGTTCAATTCCCGGCACGGTAACTGTAGCTTTCGATTTTTATGTTGTCTAGTGTGTTCTTCTATCTTTCTACTTCTTCCTATGAGTGCCGATCAATACACTTTCTGTTACTTGATTAACTAACAAGCTAAGCTTTCTTAGCTTCACACACATCCTAACTCTATCACAGACTGAGGGGCACTGACTGAAAACGTACTAACTTTCAGCTCCGCAGCTTATCACGCATGGGTCTTGCAAAATACATGCACACCACTCTTAGCTGTCACACTCCGGTAACACCTCTTTCCCAGCGATGACCTTTTGCCTCCACCATGATCATCATCATCCAGCGCCTTCACGACCGGCACAGGCGATCACGCTCCTGATGCCTGGTACATTTGAACTACAAAGTGAGTTTAGCACACAACACATGCTTTTACGGCTAACACTGAGAAATCCAAGTGACATTGTGTAGTTTTGTCTGATGCTGTCATAACGGCGACTTTTTATTTGTTGTGTGCTGACGTAAACTTCTCGAAACAATGTTCGTTCGTTCTCTTTTGTGCAATTGTCTGTAATGCTGTCGAGTTCTATATGATTCTATGACTTTCCCGTTACAGTGTCAACAATTCTTGTGTTACTTCCCTTCAGCATTATCGTTCATTGTTATCATGTCGACTTGAGCTATTTATAGTCCAAACAGCTCAACGGGAAGTAGATTCAGACGTGATTGTTATCTATTTTCAAAAATCGTCAATCGATTCAAGGTTAAACACTGTCCTCATGTGCTTGCATATTGATACTTTCTGACTGGAGGTGACAGTCAGCACACTTTACTCGCACTAACAAAGCCACAGTTATGCACACACATAAACCCACATTATCCAGAAAACCTTAGCGTTAACAAATTATAAACAGTAATTATAATAATTACTAGTAAAGATATTAATCAACACAAAGAATACTATTATACACAACCTCAGAAATATTCTTGATTTATAATGCCACGACAACGATGTTTCCCTCTCCATTACAGTGAAGCCGACTACGCCTCTGAATCGGATACCTATGACTACGTGTCGGGCTACATGTCTGACGGCGACATCCTCAAGAACAGAAACAACGTGGGCAGTGGCGGCGACGACTGGACAAGTGGCTACCTCAGTGAGGGAGGGGCCTCGCTCTACGCCAGACGACTGCAGCAGAGGTTTCGGGAGGGGATGCAAGCCGTCAGAGAGTGCATGCAGAAGAGTAGTGGCCTCATGGATGACGACAGGTGAGGCTACTGTCTGACTGTTTGCCTGCTTCTGTCTGTCTGCCTGCTTCTATCTGTTTGACTCTCACCCCCCCCTCCCCCGACTGTCTGTCTGTATGTATGTCTATCATCAAACTATGTCTGTCTTTCTCCAAACAAAGGTTTCACATAAACGTTAGTTTTAGTGCATATCATCATCATTATCATCATATACCTTGAGGACTTGCATAGAAAGAATTGTATCTTGTGATCGACACCAGCACATTTTCATTTATATGCTGATGATAGCTGTCATGTTCTGACACTTAGCTGTACACAATATTCTGTCGTGTTCTTAGGCATGATCGGACGGCCTTGGTCTGGGGGATGATCTAACGGCCTTGGTCTGGGGAATGACCTAACGGCCTTGGTCTGGGGGATGATCTAACGGCCTTGGTCTGGGGGATGACCTAACGGCCTTGGTCTGGGGGATGACCTAACGGCCTTGGTCTGGGGGATGACCTAACGGCCTTGGTCTGGGGGATGACCTAACGGCCTTGGTCTGGGGGATTACCTGACGGCCGTGGTCCGGGGGATTACCTAACGGCCTTGGTCTGGGGGATGACCTGACGGCCTTGGTCTGGGGGATGACCTAACGGCCTTGGTCTGGGGGATTACCTGACGGCCGTGGTCTGGGGGATTACCTAACGGCCTTGGTCTGGGGGATGACCAGACGGCTGTGGGCTGGGGGATGACCTAACGGCCGTGGTCTGGGGGATGACCTGACGGCCGTGGTCTGGGGGATGACCTGACGGCCGTGGTCTGGGGGATGACCAGACGGCCGTGGTCCGGGGGATGACCAGTCTGCCGTGGTCTGGGGATGACCAGACGACCGTGGTCCGAGGGATTATGTCATATCACTAGGGCTGGGACTGCTGACTGAATGTCCTCTGATACACAGCGGTGGCGGCTACCAGGCTTCAGCCTTGTCGTCAACGGAAGACACGTGATGCCAACAAAAATAGCATTGCTACCTGTTATGTATGAGATGTGAATGTTGGCAACTTCAAGCCCCCATCACAGTGTCTGCTTTAGGACAACCTTCAGAGGGGAGATGGCCCGTGATCAGTGGTCGGTTCCCCTGCAGGGAGGCCGTCTGTATAATCAACACTTCATGGATAAGAACCGAACAGGAAGACACCCCGACCACCTCATGCAAACCGTATCAGTTATATTGATTCACCAAACACAGCTAGAAAGTCACATGCAGTCGAATGTGGCGATGGGATTAGGGTAACGGCTAATGGACACAGTGTCTGAATGACTGACTGCATGATGTCAACCCATCACTATCTTATGTTCATAGATGGCATCACTTACTTATAACTGGTTCATGTTCACACTTGGCATCACTCATCTATGACTGTTTCATGTTCACACTTGACATCACTTACCTATGACTGTTTCGTGTTCACACTTGACATCACTTACCTATGACTGTTTCATGTTCACACTTGACATCACTCTATGACTGTTTCATGTTCACACTTGACATCACTTACCTATGACTGTTTCATGTTCACACTTGACATCCCTCATCTATGACTGTTTCATGTTCACACTTGACATCATTCATCTATGACTGTTTCATGTTCACACTTGACATCACTTAACTATGACTGTTTCATGTTCACACTTGACATCACTTACCTATGACTGTTTCATGTTCACACTTGACATCACTCATCTATGACTGATTCATGTTCACACTTGACATCACTCACCTATGACTGTTTCATGTTCACACTTGACATCACTTACCTATGACTGTTTCATGTTTACACTTGACATCACTTACCTATGACTGTTTCATGTTCACACTTTACATCACTAATCTATGACTGTTTCATGTTTACACTTGACATCACTTACCTATGACTGTTTCATGTTCACACTTTACATCACTAATCTATGACTGTTTCATGTTCACACTTGGCATCACTTACCTATGACTGTTTCATGTTCACACTTGACATCACTCATCTATGACTGTTTCATGTTCACACTTGACATCACTTATCTATGACTGTTTCATGTTCACACTTGACATCACTTACCTATGACTGGTTCATGTTCACACTTGACATCACTTATCCATGACTGTTTCATGTTCACACTTGACATCACTCATCTATGACTGGTTCATGTTCACACTTGACATCACTCATCTATGACTGTTTCATGTTCACACTTGACATCCCTCATCTATGACTGTTTCATGTTCACACTTGACATCACTTACCTATGACTATTTCCTGTTCACACTTGACATCACTCATCTATGACTGTTTCAGATCTCGAATCAGAAGGCAGCTTGTTCGGTAGGGACTATCTACTTTTTTCCCAGCTTTTCCCTGGCAATTTTATGCTACCTACTTATAATTTACTGTGGTGAAGGTTATCAATTATCTTTTTAATACCCAGACCCTCCCCCAAGAACCAAACATTTGCTTTTTGATTCCGTTTTGTTTCATTGGTTCTGTTTCTGGATATTATGCTGGAGGCTGTTGACATTGAAGTAGCTAAAGCATGCACCTATATACACACACATGCACACAAGCGCGCGCGCGCACACACACATCAGACAGATGCACATGCAGTCATGTATGTGCACGGAGACTGGAAACCATGTATTTCAGGTGGGACTGGACGCGCCACGAGGACGTATCACATATTGATGGATCACCCACACAATACCCATCGTTTGACTGATTACAAGAAAGACTGAAATGTTTCGGCCACCTGAGGAGTATAAATCCAAAGATGCCTACAGCGAGAGCCTAGGACATTAAAAAAGAAACTTCAAGAAGCAGATGGAGTCTTTGAAGAAGATGGGTTGAAGGAATCACTGATAGCTTAAGGTTTCACAACACCACAGTATAGCCATCAACCGAGCCCGCCCTAGCTTGGCTACCTATTGTCTTGTAGCCTACAATGGTCAGCGGCACAAATCAGATACTGACAAATATAAAAAAGAGTGACAACCATATAGTTGTATCACATATCAAAGGCTGACAGAGATCGTTGTCAGCGATGGCAATAACTGAGAGCTGTAGCTGCTTCAGATTGTAATTGATTCCGTTACTGATAAATCTGTCCGATTCAATAAGAAATCACATGAGTCAGTGACAGTGAGCCAGCAGACATCGACAGGCGTCACAAACATTACCAGGCGTCACAAACATTACCAGGCGTCACAAACATTACCAGGCGTCACAAACATTACCAGGCGTCACAAACATTACCAGGCGTCACAAACATTACCAGGCGTCACAAACATTACCAGGCGTCACAAACATTACCAGGCGTCACAAACATTACCAGGCGTCAGTGACATCAACAAAGATCATTCTAATTTATTTTTCTTGATTTTACATTTCGGGGCTATTTAACTTTGTTTCGTTTCAAAAAAATAATATTCATGATTTGTTTTTGTTTTTTAAATAAAGTTTCTTCTAGGTCACTTTGTCACAGACACAAGCACCCCAGCACAAACTGGTCACTTTTTGTTTCATTATTGTTTATATTTAATCTGTTATCATCGACCCTGGGTTTTTTAGGTTGTTTCATTTGTATAGTTTATCCTGATATCCTCACACACACAGGCGCGCGCGCACATACGCACATAGGCAATATTTATCTACAGGCTTTGATACCCTAGTCTAGTTCCATGATCGACCCCATCACCTCCAATCCCTGTCAGCTTCCACCCCTGTCCGCTTCCACCCCTGTTTCCTTCCACCCCTGTCCGCTTCCACCCCTGTCCGCTTCCACCCCTGTCCGCTTCCACCCCTGTCCGCTTCCACCCCACCCCTTCCACCAATGTCCCCTTCCACCAATGTCCCCTTCCACCCATATCCCTTTCCACCAATGTCCCCTTCCACCCATGTCCTCTTCCACCAATGTCCCCTTCCACCCCTGTCCGCTTCCACCCCTGTCCGCTTCTACCCATGTCGCCTTCAACCGATGACCTCTTCAACCCCGCCCCTTCCAACCCTGTCCCCTTCCACCCATGTCCCCTTCCACCCCAACCCTTCCACCTCTGTCCCCTTCCACCCATGTTCCCAACAATTGTTACCAGACTTGATGCTTTCTCGTGGAACAACCCATCTCTAGCAGCAACATTGCCTTCACATTGCTGAGCATCAGTGATCCCCCAGTAAGCTATGATCCCCCAGTAAGCCATGGTCCCCCAGTAAGCCATGATCCCCCAGTAAGCTATGATCCCCCAGTAAGCCATGATCCCCCAGTAAGCCATGATCTCCCAGTAAGCCATGACCCCCCAGTAAGCCATGACCCCCCAGTAAGCCATGACCCCTCAGTAAGCCATGACCCCCCAGTAAGCCATCATCCCCCAGTAAGCCATCATCCCCCAGTAAGCCATGATCCCCCAGTAAGCCATGATCCCCCAGTAAGCCATTATTTTGCCCTTTCATGTCCACCAATAACCTGCACGATTTGGACTACAGAGTTACTTCAGTACCTGTAGTGACTGTGCCTTTGTGTATGTCAGCCGTTTAAAACTCTCTAGAGTAGTTTCCAAGTCGTCAGTTATTATAATTGCTTTATTCAGCCATCTGAGATTGAACGGGGTTTCTGGAACCTCTCTCAGGGTGATTCTCATCCGCAAGGTGGCACTTTGTATCACCGGGTGTTTATCGCTTGGTAGATGCTCCGGTGAGGGTAAATCTCACTCAAGGGAAATAACAAGAACATTCTTCACTGACAAATTTCCTAAGTTTACTTTCTTGGATGCAGTTATGTTGCGCTCTTTGGTATTGATTTTCCCATCATGTTAACTTTGTCTGGGGTCTAGAGCAGTGTTTTCCAAACTTTTCTTGGTCGCGGCGCCCTTTTTCAATTAAAATTTGTCCACGGCCCTAACCTAAGTAAAAGTTTGACTATTCGAATGTAAGAGAGTAATTTATGTTCGTTTGTAAAAAAGTAATAAAACTTTGAATATTTCGCGGCGCCCCTGTGAA